ATCTAATTATTAAAAAGAACTTAATAACCAATTTTGTAACATTGTAAAAAACTATTAACCTTTTGAAAAAATTACTAAACAAAAGCAGGGATAAAATGACAATTGGAATAAGCAGCTATTCTTCTTCTTCTTAGGGTGCCTGTCCGTTCCGAACGTTGGCGATCATTCTGGCTATGATAATTTTGTTGGTTGCTATACTAAATAGCTGTGTTGAGGTCTTTCTATACCATGTTCTCAGGTTAGCAAGCCAGGATATTCTTCTTCGTCCTGGGGCTCTTTTTCCTTCAATTTTACCCTGCAAAATGCATTGGAGTAGCTCGTATCTGCCTTGATATCTCATTATATGTCCCAAGTACTCCACCTTACGGCTCTTCACAGTGTTGACCAAATCCGCGGTTGTGTTCATCCTCCGCAGTACTTCTTCATTGGTGACTTTGTCTGTCCAAGCAGCTATAGTGAGTTTGTATTCAGACAATCTCAGACAATTTATATCCTGCATTATGTTTAGTTCAACTCTTAATTGTAAGAGTAGCCGTCGTCAGAAAAGTTTATAATAGAGACTCTTGTCGCCAGAGCAGTCAATCACAGCAAAAATTGTCACTCTGGCTACCAAACAGCGTTATAAACTACGTTTTTTGGCTTTTGACGGAAAATTGCTGCGAAGTTGAAAACAAGAAATGCATAAAAAGGCAGCGTATCTTCTGATCGGGATCAAGTCGGTCTACATTTTAACTCCAGCTAGACCTTGTTGGCCGAGTGCCTTTTTAACTATTGCTGCGTTTATTATTACCTGAGTGATTATTTTTTCGATTTAAGAGGACCTCGCTTCGAAGACGATTCCAAAATCTCTTTATTGTTTAAATGAACACGAAGCCTTGTTGGCTACGATATTGTTTAAACCAATAAGAAGTACAGAAACCGGCGTTGTTGATTGTCGGTCTATCTTTTGTCGAGGTAAAGAAAAGTCCGGCAATGGACTTATTACCTTACGGGAGCCAGATAACAGCTTAGAGATAAAGCTGGCTGGCCAAATAGATGGACTTAGAATTACTCCTCGATTGGTGACGGAGCTAAAATAGGACTTCGTCGCCAAAATCATTCGACAGAAATAATAAAAGTTCATACGAAAATTAGGAGTATTGCGCAAGAGGTAGCAGTACGGAGTGAAGCGTCGTCGAAGAGTCAACTCTGCCGACGTTCCTATATATCTCGAGGAGTATGAACTTGGCTACACGTTGAGGAGTGAAGAGCCGGCATCTCTGTGGTGTTTAAGTCATCCGTCGTGGAAGGAGGTACAAAACCTTTGCTCTTCCTCCAGAGCGGCGGTCGGAAATCATCAAGAATCTCCGAATACTTCGGAGGATGGTCCGACCGTACGGCACTCTCTCTAAACTTTACGCTCATTAGGCCTGATGCGATTGTTCTCCGCAACTTTTTTTGATTCTGGGGCATTTTTCAGTAAATGTCCCAAATATTTTCGTCAGACAGGAAAATCAGAAAACAAGATCCGTCATACAAATATATTGTTCTTATTCATACAATATATTATACAAAATTTAAAACCCACAGTATGGTGGAGGTACGTAGATGATGTATTCTCAATATGGCCTCATAGACACATTCCTAAATGATATAAACGATAAAGAAGAGATAATAACATTTACCATGGAAAAGGAATATAATAACATGCTACCTTTTCTGGATATTTTAATCTCTAAGAACGATACTGGATATGAGACTCAGGTGTATAGAAAACCAACAAACACCAATAGATATTTAAATTTTAAATCAAATCACAATATTAATGTTAAAAAGGGAATCATTAAATCCTTATACGTAGAGCCAAAATTTCTTGTTCTAACGAAAATTCGTTCTTGAAGGAGAAACATTTGTTAACATCTGTTTTATTAAAAAATTATTAAAAAAAAAATAAGGAACTTTCAACAATCGATCGAATAGAACAAAACAATTTAGAACGAGATCCTACAGCATACACAAGAAATAATATGAGGAAAATAACAATACCGTACATAAAAGGATTATCAGAAAAACTTAAAAGGATAGGAAATAAATTCAACATTTCAACAACATTCAAAACAACAAACACGTTGAGATCTATTTTGTCCAAAACCAAACCTAACAATGAACAAGAAAGGACAAAGAATTGCATTTATAAAATATCTTGTGAATGCGATGAGCTTTATTTAGATGAAATATCAAGGCCATTAAATGTTAGAATAAGTGAACATCAATCTTATATTAAAAATAGAAAATTTGATAGATCTCAAATATGTAAACACGCATAGGATAATGAACATAGGGTTCAATGGAATAATTCAAATGTAGTCCTCAAAGAAACGGATGGCAAAAAAAGAAAAATCAAAGACGCGACTCCAATTATGCTAAATGAGACCAATTGTGTCGCAAATTCCTCGGCAGAATGTAGTAGGATCTAGTTACCCATATTGAAAGAGGAAGTTATTAATAAGAAAATACCAGTATTAGTAAGTAAGTAACATATACATCATTTATATTTTTTAAATAATAAACATATAAAATCAGAGTTTGGTGTTTATTGAAGGTAAACTAAATGCACGACCAAATACTTACCATGTCGGATAAAATTAAATTATTAGAAGAATTTTTCACTAAGTAACAAAAAACAAAATTTGTTTATTTTACTGTTTGTATTTTAAGAACGATTTCCGAAGTGGAAATTGAAACGTGAATAAACGTATCTTAACCTTTAACTGTGGCTTATTCTCAGTTAAATCGTAATTAATACAATATATTATTTTAATAAAATAGCTTAAATATTACAAGAAAAAAATTATCTGATCACAAATTCTGCTCAACGCATCTGAAGACTCGAACATGTCGGAATAAACCGTACGAAATTCACAGAAAACCAGCTAATTTTTTTAGCATACTTTCATTAACAGTAGCAAAAACAAATTTTTCTATTGTCTGACGCAACTTGTTTTCCGATTTTCACGGGTGAAAATTTTCGGGAATATATAGTGATTTGTCCACCGTTTTAATATTCCAATTTGTTGTGTTTCTAGGTCTCCCTCTTCCTCGCCTGCATATTATTATTGTTCTTATTTTAAATCTTTTTCTACTTTTATTAAATTTTTGATAAAATTATATGGTTTTGTGTTGCTCTAATTCGTTCTTAATCTCAGATTTTTTTGTCTATATCTTTACATTTCTTTTTTTAGTGTATTTTTTTCTCGTCTTTCCTTACAATTTTATATTTTTCTTCTACTTCTCGTGTCCTATGCCGTTATTCTAATCGACATTATGCGCTATGTTTTCTTTCTGATACGCTACATTATTTATCAAATTTGTATAATGGTTTTACACGTTTCCCACTCTCTTTTACCCTCGTATTTTTGACTGTTTTCTAAACTTCTTTTTATATTTTAAACTCTTATTTTTGCTGTTATATTTCAAGTTTCTTATTTCGTATTTTGAATTTTTGTATTCTTTTTCTTTTTAAATATTTAAAAATCTGGCTTTAATTTTACTTTTCACTAGATAGGGGTCCGAAACTGCATTGGCCCCCGAGTAGTACGTCTGCTGCATACGTTTATTACCTATAGTGAGATTTTTTGTGTGAGGAATAATCCCATTCTGGGTTTGGTTTTATAGTTTCTGGTGTGAGTTCGCTGTTCCACTAATTTTCTACATTCTTCTCTCTCTTTGATTTTCCTTCCTATATTTATAATTTCCATGTTCGTTAAGTCTTCTTCCACTTGTTGTCTTCATCTCAGTTTAGATCTGCCTCTGGTTCTTTTACGTGGTGGTATCATGACTGTTATAAATAACGGATTGCTCTTGTCTCTTCTCAATATGTGTCCATACCGTCTAATTCTTTGTACTTTTATTGCTACAACTATGTTTTCTTGAGCCATCCATTCTTGTATTTCGTGAATAAACCATTGTCTTGCATCTTCTTCGTTTCCCCCTCTAGTCTCAGTATTTTGGTGATACTCTTTCTCTTGCATTATAACTTTCAATTACTTTCCTTTTCTTGCTGTTAACCTAAATGTTTCTGCGATATATAGGTACTTATATTGTTCTTATGGTCCTTTTATAGATTTTTGTTTTTATGTTTCGGCCTTTTTATCTTCTTATCTCTAAACTTATTTTCATTTCTATAAAACATTGTACTTCCTTGACGCATGAATTCTTCTTTACATATCTACACTTTTATTTCTTCAGTTAACTAGTACTCCCAAATGTTTCGAATGTTTCATCCTCTTCAAAATGTGTGCATCTGTTGTCAGTTCTATTACTTGTGTCTTCTTTTTTTTTGCTTACGTTCATATCTTTTTTTTTATTTTCATTTAACTACAGTTCTCCAAATTTAACTTCGTTTCCTATTTCTTGGAAGGTTTTTTTTAATGCCTTTTTACCTGTTGTTATTATGGTTATATATCCGCATATCCTGTTATTTATACTGCATTTTTGTTTATTGTTCCTGAGTTTGACAGCTTTTTTATTATCTGTTCTTTCTCTTCGGTGTCTATTATCGCTTGGGAATCTTGCATTGTAATTTCCATCATTTATTACCAAAAAAGATCCTTAAATAGAAAACTTCTAGGATTCACTTCTAGTTTCAAGTCATTTCTAGTTTTCTACATTCCAAAAAAATTAAGAACTATAACAATCCTGTCTACCATGCAATCGAAGAAAGAAAACATAAGTGCGATATGCCATAGAATCACATATTTATACGGCTTGTTAGAAGTTTAATTACCACTCCGGAGTCAAAACCTGTTGAAAAATACGTTCTACAATCCAGGAATTGGTTTATAAAATAGGTTGGTGCATATTGTATATTTATAAAACTTTAATAAGTATATTTTAAACAAAGTCCATGTTAGAATAATTGGGACTAGTTTATTATATATGGTTATAATCAAAAAATATATATACAATATTACTAATATGCAAATTTTCTAACATAGCTAGTGAAAGAAAGCTGAATATTATTAAACAAGTGAAGTTCCGAACCCAGGAGCAACAGCAGCAGCATGGAATGATAGTGTAGCATAAGCGGCATTAGCTACTGGGACAGCATAAACGGCAGGAGCGGCACCGTTGGATACGACTGGACCCACATCATGTTCTTTGTTTACACCAGCAAGAAACTTATTTTGGTGATCACCAGTGTAGCTAGAAACGAAAGGAACTGAATATCCTTGAATAACTGAAGTTCCGTATCCAGAAGCACCATTGGATACCTGTGCAGCGTAAGCGCCTTGAACTATTGAATCAGCATTAATGACAGGAGCAACAGCATTAGATATAGCTGGGTCTTGACTATGTTCTTTTGGAACAACAGAATAAAATCCATTATGGGGATTAATAGTATAACTAGGAACCAAAGGAGCTGAATATGCTTGAAAAATGGTAGCTCCGTGGCCAGAAGCAACGGGAGTAGCATCAGATACTTGTGAGGAGTAACTGGCATGAGCTACTGGAGCCGCATAGGCGACAGGGGAGACAACATTGGGAGCAGATCTGGCTATAGAATGTTCATTTGGAACAACAGCATTTAATCCATTGTGTAGATTACTAGTATAGCTAGAAACCAAAGGAGATGAATAAACTTGAACAATTGAATCTCCGTGGTTAACAGAAACAGAAGCAGCATGGGATTTTGGTGCAGTATAAGCGGAACTATCTACTGGAAAAGCGTAAGCAACAGGAGCAACATTATTGGGTACAGCTGGGCTTGCAGCGTGTTCTTTGTGCACAACAGCCTTAAATCCATGACGTGAATCAGCGGTATAGTCTACAACACGTTTAGTTCCATCAGATTCTAAAAGTGAGTAGCTTCCATGGACGAAATCACCATGACGAGATTCGTGTTGGCTTTTAGAATCTCCAGTATGTGGATCATTTACATCATAAGCAAAATCGTAGTGTGCTGGTGCGGAATGATCAGCAACGACGGTTTCAGGAACAGAAGTATAAGCCAAAGTAGCAGGAGCAGCGTAGGATTGAACTACTGGAGCAGCCTTAGTATGGGCAACTGGAGCAGAGTAAACTGCAGGAGCAGCATGTGATTGGGAAAGTGTAGTGTAGGTAACGTAGGACTGGGCAGCTGGAGCGTGGTGATGTTCATAGGCACTGGCTGATGCAATGAATGCAGCAAAGATTATATACTGAAAAAAACAGAAAAGAAAAACGTTTAAACACACCAATAGTTAGCTAAAAAAGTCAAAATTGTCAAAATTTCACTACACAGGGTGGTCCCTAAGTAATTGTACAAAAAGAAATCCTAGATTCTACACTTTAAAATATTACGATTAAGGTCAAATTGCTTTTAAAGTGGAAATTTAAAATTTTAATTTTTGCTATAACTTTCATGTTTGTGAACATTTATGTATCACCGGTGTTTGTAATAAAAAATATTAAAGATATATTATTTTAACAAGAGAAAGGTATCCTTGTTAATAACTTCAAAACTCATCAGTTTTTAGTAGTAATATCCCTAGGACATTAATAACAGACGAGATAATTTAGGCTAATTTAGGATAAGGCTGAGTGCTGTTACCAAGCAACGAGCTTGAGAAATTTATCATGAAATTATGAGGCATTCATCAATGTCCGAGGGATATTCGGCGGATAATTTTTCGAAAAAAAAATCATAACTCAACATAACGAAACATTTATTTATTAAAAGTACACAAGTGAAAGTACAATTATTAAAATTTAAGTTAACATTAGATTCGTTGCTGTTCTCTACTATAGAAGATTTATTACCACGCATAATATTTATAATCTTGTTGTGGTGTTCTTGATCGAGATTCAAGTATGGTTTTATAGAATTATATTTAGGTATATTAGCGCATTTATATTTTGAACATTCTCATTGCCGAAACGTGACATTTTGAAATTTATTTGGATGAAGTTGTCAAACTTAATCGTGTTGTCATAGGGATTGAAAATTGCACTGAATGCAATTATCAGTCTAATGTTGACATTATTGGGTGAAATTGTTCCACATGACACAAAATGACGAAATTTGAATGTTTGTTAGAACAGTCGAAAAATTATCAGTAGTAATATCCCTAGGACATTGATAACAGACGAGATAATTTCATGACAATCGAAAGCTCGTTCTTTGGTAACAACACGAAGCCGAAGGCTGAGTTCTGTTACCAAGCAACGAGCTTGAGAAATTTGTCATGAAATTATGAGGCATTCATCAATGTCCGAGGGATATTCGGCGGATAATTTTTCGAAAAAAAAAATCATAATTCAACATAACGAAACATTTATTTATTAAAAGTACAGTTAGTGAAAGTAAAATTATTAAAATTTAAGTCAACATTAGATTTGTTGCTGTTCTCTACTATAGAAGATCTATTACCACGCATAATATTTATAATCCTGTTGTGGTATTTATAAACGTGACATTTTGAAATTTATTTGGATGAAGTTGTCGAACTCGATCGTGTTGTCATAGGGATTGAAAATTGCACTGAATGCAATTATCAGTCTAATGTTGACATGATTGGGTGAAATTGTTCCACATGACACAAAATGACGAAATTTGAATGGTTGTTAGAACAGTCCAAAAATTATCGATATAATCACATTTTACAAATAAACTACACACATAATTCAGATTTAATGCAATTACTCCAGGCAACGAAAGAAAATTAGACAAAAACGTCAATACTTTTGAATTTTGCAATAGGATTTGACAAAATAATAGAATGATTAGATTTTACGTCAAAAATTTTACGTTTAGTATTAAATTAAAGTCATAATCAAAATATTTTATTTATAAACCAAATTAAGAAATAGTTAAACTAAATAACATTAAACTGTTTATCAAAGTAAGTGTTCGAATTGTCCACCATTTCCTTTAATTAATTTTTCAATACATTCCATAAAAGGTCGTCTCATATTAATTAATAGCATCACTGGTTCTAAAGAAACTGCTGCAGTATTTATAATAATTATTATAAGTATCATATATAATAAATATAATATAATAATAAAGTATCCGTTTGGGATTTTTATGAATTAAATAATTATATTAAAATCTCACCACATGTCCAAGGAATATGACTACCACGAACAATCCAACGTTTAGGAAAGTTGTATTTAATTATGTTCTCATTGCCCTCTTTCTATATTGTGGTGGTGTACCATCTTGCATAAACCACATAATTCGACTTAAGTTTGATGACAATTCTTCCAATAAACCAATAACATAATTTTATAAAAAATGTAATTAAATCTCACCATTCAAATTACAAGGTAATTGGCATGTCCCTATAATATAATTACAAATGGTACCAAACCATACGATATGCATTTTAAACATAAATTTTTAATAAATGTATGGCTTGGAACCATTAGTAAATATTTTTTACGGGCATGCGAATTACCTTATAATTTGAATGGTGAGATTTATTTACATTTTTTATAAAATGATTTTATTGATTTATTGGAAGAATTTTCATCAAACTTTAGGTGAAACATGTGGTTTATGCAAGATCGTACACCACCACATTATAGAGAGATGGCAGTGATAGTCATATTCCTTGATCATGTGGTGAGATAGTAATATAATTATTTAATTTATAAAAAATCTCAAAAGAGTACTTATTAATATACGTATAATACTTATAATAAATAGTGCGGCAGTTTCTTTAGACCAATGATGATGTTTAATATGAGACGATCTTTTATGGAATGTATTGACAAATGAATTAAAGAAAGTGGTGGACATATCGAACAGTTACTCAGACAAAAAGTTTAATGTTATTTAGTTTAACTATTTTTTAATTTGATTTATAAAAAAATATTTTGATTATGACTTTAATTTAATAAACAACGTAAAATGTTTGATGTAAAATCCAATCATTCTGTTATTTCGTCAAATCCTATTGCAAATTATCCTGCTAATATATTTATTTAATTTGATGTTTCGTAAATATTAACTTTATTTAAGGCATTTTATATCAAAATTCGAAAGTATTGATGTTTTGTGTAAGTTTCTTTAGTTGCATGGAGTAATTGCGTTAAATCTTAATTATGTAGTTGATTTGTAAAATGCGATTATCTCGAAAACTGTTGAGTTCTGAAGGTATTAACGAGTATACCTTTTTCTTGTTAAAATAATGTATCTTTAATATTTTTTATCATTAACATCGGTAAATTAAGAGCAAAAAAGTTAAGTGCAAATGTAAACCACATATGTGGCATAGGTAGTGTACTCTACCAGCTACATTAAAGTATGCATTAAATTATAATTTCTGATGTTTAATACTACCCAGTTATGAATTTTGATACATAAATGTTCACAAACATAAAAGTAATAGCGAAAATTAAAATTTTAAATTTCCACTTTAACACCTAAAGCAAGTTGGCTTAAATCGTAATATTTTAAAGTGTAGAATCTACGGTTTCTTTTTGTACAATTACTTAAAGACCACCCTGTATATTTTGTACACAGTTTGTTAACATATTATATAAATTTTAGTTTAGCGCAGGCCAGGTAAACAGATAACTTACCTTAACTGCCATGTTTTTGGTTTGCTATTAGCTTTAACACTAACTTTTAAATGCAATAATAGTCACTTATATAGTTTGGCTATAATTTGTATGCAGGCCCACCCCTAGACTCTTTTGCTAATAAAAATTGATTGCAATAAAATCTACAACAGTCTTAATGGTCGCAATGAATATATTTTATATTTATTTTTATTTAACTAAAAACTAGTTCTATCAATCTGGATGCAGTGGTAGTTAAATTTTGTTCTTAAAAAGATTCAACCAATATATAAAAGAATACATAAATATTTAAAATGGTTTTTGTAATCTTTCCGGTACTTTTATTTGTTTATGTATTATGTATTGCAAGGTTGTATCGATCGAACTAAAAAGTTCATAATATTTTATAGGCTAAAATCAAAAATAAACAAGACTAAAGCTAAAACAAGAAAATCCCGATTTGTTAGTTATCAAACACTAAATAAAACTGTAATTGTTATTGAAAATAATGTCCGTTTTGGTTTAAATACAAGTTGACTATTAATCCATTAAACATATAGTGCAACATTTGTGGTCAGTTATTGATCTCTTCATATTTTTCTATAATGTGATTTCTCAGTGATTTCTTTACGACCGACTATCGGGATATTGTGAAGACAAAATAGGTAAATATCAGTTTGGGTTTCGTAAATAAAGATCAACGACCGATCAAATATTTCTTCTAAGGCAAGCTCTGAAAAAAACATATGAGTATGGCATTGATAGTCATCACCTGTTTGTTGATTTTAGATGTGCCTAGAATGATTTTAGATAGATTTTAGAATGATTCATTCTATCTCCGGCTTCTATACAACATGTAGCTTCTCCTTAAAATTTTAAAGTGTTTGTTTGTCTTTGTGTATTGTATTTTGTATTGTTATGTCCAAATTTTACATTTATGACATTCTACTGTGTCGGATAGGCCACAACTGACGAAATGCCCCTGAAGATGATTTATTGATCGAAAGTACTTGGGCAAGATTAAATTAATCACCGTGTTCGATAGTTGCCTTGTATATCCTCAAAGTTTAATTATTCGAACATTCAACCTTATATTGATTGACATCTGAAATAGGCCAAAAAACGTTAGAAAAGTAAAATAATTAACTTCGAAAAAACTTGAAGTTGATGGTTAATAACTGTTTGTGTTATATACCGTTTTAGACTTTAGTTTTAAATGTTAAAAAAATTAAATAACACATTTATACAAGCTACATACTTGGTGTAATAATGGCTCCTGATATTAATGGAAATGTTAGAATGACATCTGACATATGACAACTTGGATAAGCAGTCACAATCATGGCGATGTGATCTGAAAATTTCAAAATTTCAAGGTAAACTTAACGTTGACCACAAATCCAACCGACACGAATATAGAAAGTCTACTGATGATATATAAAATTATATAGATTACTTTATGTAGATTGCATGATCCAGATCTCACACTCAAACGTGTCAGTAATAATTTGGATATTAGTTGAACTTCTTGGATATAACTATATCTGTTAAAAAAGATTCTCTAGAGTACAATATTTACAGAAAACCTACTTAAACAGATCGTGTTATACACGAAACATCTAATCATTTAACTCAACATAAAATGGCTGCTTTCAACAGTTACATTTATTCTTCTTCTTGTAGTGCCTATCCGTTTCAGATGTTGGCGAACATCATGGCAATCTGCACTTTGCACACTGCTGCTCTAAAAAGATTTGTGGTTGTTGTGTTGAACCACGTTCGTAGATTTTTCAGCCAGGAAATCCTTCGCCTTCCTGGTCCCCGTTTTCCTTCTACTTTTTCCTGCAAGATTAGTTGCAGCAGTTTATATCTTTCGCTGTTCCTCATGATGTGACCGAGGTATTCGATTTTGGCTGTTTTTATTGTGGTTAACAGCTCTTTTTTATACATTTATAGGCTTCTCAAATTTGGACTTTCTAATAAGGACTTCAATTTGGAACTTAATACTCTCAAGCTAATGGCTTTCAATTCCCACAACACACTATATATGAAGATGACATTACAACTGTTGGAAAGTTTACATATGCCGACGGATCAAAAGATGGAGAAATATAAAAGAGAATAACGCAGGCATACAGAGCTTATTTTGCCCTCTTCCATATATTTCGGTTTAAAATTCTTCACCAAAATACAAAGATAAGAAACTATAAAACCTTAGTTCAACCCATAGCATGATATAGTAGTGAAGCATGGGTCCTGAAAGAAACATTCAAAAGCAAACTCGATACATTCTAAAGGAAAGTACTGAGAAGAATACTAAGACCTGTGAGAGAAAACGAAATCTTCAGACAAGCAAGGGTGGAGCCAAAAATAAATGAGCCCAAGACTCAATTTGGGCTGTAGTGCCGTAGAAGAAGAATGGCTTTCAATAATGGTTGGGATCTCAACATCATCAACATAAGCTTCAAAATAGAGCAAAACTTAAAATGGCAGAAAAGTTTGCTTATTCATCACAATGTTTGCCACAAATAACACCAGATATTTCTCCTTTACTTATATCAGCAACATTTACCAATTTTAATTAACATCAAAGATAGGATGAACACTCTTCACAAAAGTGATATTTATAAAAATTAAAATGTAATGATTGTGATAACTCTTATGTAGGTAGAAACATTCGAAAGGTATCTACTAGAATTACAACATTTGAAAAGACCAAACTCTTCAAGTTTTGGTCACCATTTATTGTCCAGTGAACATAAATTTAATATCAATACTGGTTCATCTATTTTACATGAGCTTAGTCATCATCATCATCATCATTTCTCAACCTCTTGCATCCACTGTTGGATATAGGTCTCCTCCATGTTCTTCCACTGTTCTCTATCTTGCGCCTTCTGTATCCAATTTCTGACTGTTTTTCTCAAGTCGTCCATACATCTTTTTGGTGGTCTGCCTCGGTGTCTTTTGTCTTCTCTAGGTCTCCATTCTATAAGTCTTTTGGTTCACCTATTATCATTTGAACGTGCTATATGTCCAGCCCATCTCCATTTGGCTTGTGCAATTTTTTCTATGACATCTATCACTTTAGTCCTCTCTTTCACTATCCTATTTGGTACCATATCTCTTCTAGTTATTCTCAATATTGCTCTTTTTATTTTTCTTTGGGTTACTCTCAATTTATTTGCAGAATGTTTGGTTAAAGTTATTGTTTTGGAACCATATGTTATTACTGGCAGTACGCATTGGTTGTAAACCTTTTTCTTCAAGCAAATCGGTAGCGTTCCTTTTAGAATATCTCGCATCTTGCCAAATGCTGCCGATCCCAAGCCTATGCCACGCTGGATCTCACAAGTTTGATTGTCTTTTCCTATTCTAATTTCATGCCCTTAATAGATATAGCTAAAGACCTGATGTACTTCGTTCTCATCTACCCTCATAACATCACTTGGAACTAAATTGGTCATGTATTTTGTTTTTTCAAAGTTTGTGTTCAGGCCTATTTGTTCTATTGCCTGTTTTAGTTCTTCCATCATTTTGTGAGCTTCATTTTAACTCTCGGCTATAATGACAATATCATTTGCAAAGTGCAGGTGGCTTAAGTATTCACCATCAATATTTATTCCCCTTTTAGCCCAATCTAGTTTTTTAAAGTCATATTCCAGAGCTGCAGTGAATAGTTAGGGGGAGATAATGTCGCCCTGTCTAATTCCTCCCTCAATTCTATATTTATCGGTAAAGTCATGGAGTTTAACAGATGCTGTTGCGTTGTTGTATATATGTTTTATCAAATTTGTATATCTATAGTCTACTCGGCTTTGTTCTAATGCTCCTAATACTGCCGGTAATTCCACGGTATCAAAAGCTTTCTTGAAGTCTATGAAAATCAACGTGAGTGGTTTATTTTAAGTGCTTGTATTTTAAGTGCTTGTAGGTGATCATTTGTTCCATAACCTTTCCTAAACCCAGCTTGCTCCTTAGACTGATAGAAATTTAATTTTCGTTATAAACGTTTTGTGATGATCTTGGTAAACCATTTGTAGAGATGTGACAACAGACTTATCGGTCTATAATTCTCTAGGTCTGATATATCTCCTTTTTTGTGTATTAGGATAGTAATTGCATTGTTCCATTTTGTAGGGACAATACCTTGGTTTAGACATAGGTTGAATAATTCAGTTACTACTTCCAGCAGTTTCTTGCCTCCTGCTTTAACAGCTTCTATTACTATTTGGTCATCTCCCGGAGACTTGTTGTTTTTCATTTCCTTTAGAGTTCGTTTCACTTCTTCTATCGTTATGGTAGGCAGAAGTTCGGATCCCTGGTTCATTACTCTGCGTTCTCTAATTTGTGTTTTGTCTTCTTCTGTTAACTGGCTTTTGTATAATTCTTCATAGAAGCTTTTTGCTATCTCTCCCTATTTGTTGTTATATTACCTTCCTTGTCTTTTAGTTTAACAATTTCCTTTTTACCATCACAAAGCTTTCTTCTGAGTATTTTCATATTTCCATTTTGCTCAATCACATTTTGTATTTTCTCAGTATTATACTTCCTCTGATCTTTACGAATTGCTTTTTAGATATCTCTGTTCAGATTTCTGAGTTCAGCTGAGTCGCCTTTCTGCTCTGATCTCTTGATTTTTTTTTCTTTAATGAGCTTTCTGGTGTTTTCGCTCAGTTTCTCTTCTTTTCCTACTGGTCTAGCACAGTACTGTTTTTGTGCAGTCATTAACGCTTCTGTGATTGCATTATTTACGGTTTCAACATCTGTCGAAAGAGGGTGGTTTAAGGCCCGATTTATAGCTTTCACATATTCTTTTGTGTTTTCTGGTGTACTCCATTTTTCAATTCTCTTCTCTTTATTAATCTTGTTTTTTCATTTTTTAAGTTTAACTGTATTGTAGCTCTCACTGCTCGATGATCGCTACTACTGCCAAACTGATTAAATACTGTGACATCTTTGACATATCTTTTATGTGTTGTTATGAAGAAATCTATTTCATTTTTTACTTAGGTACATGAGCTTAGTAGAAA